CAAAGAGTTGTAATAATCAAAGGTGGTTTCAAAGTGCCATTAAGAATATGAGGCCCTGTGTAATGACAAAGTGTGGCTGAGAAGCCAGAAGTGGCTAAACCATAACAGTATTCACATCAACAATGGCACATGGAGAAGACACCTGGGGTGAGGAGGCCACGTGGATGAAGATAAAAGGTTGGAAGCTGATAGCACCTGGCAATGGTCACTCTACTCCGGGGCCTGCAGCACCATTGTGGAACACTGCTGTTTGGCTCATTTATTCATTCACAAAATATGTATTAAGGGCCCATTCTGTGTCGGACACTGTGTCAGGCACTGGGGTCTTGGGAACAAGAGGACAAAGTCCTGAGCCTGGAGTTTACAGAGGAGAGATGGAGACAAACATTGAATATATATTAGTCACATCAATGCACATGACTACACATGAGGCCAAGGGTCATGAAAAGGCACTACAGAGTGCTATGAAAGAGCACAGTTGGGGACTGCTACATGTTGCAGGTGCTGGGAAGGACTCTCTGTGAAGTAGCTTTCTATCTAAGACCTGAAGGTGAAAAAAAGGTGAGGGTGTTTTAGTCAGCTTTTTTTGTCTCCCTGATCAAAAGACCCTACAAGAACAATTAGAGAAGGAAAAGTCGATTTGAGGCTCATTGTTTCAGAGATCTCAGACCATAGACAGTGGCTCCATTGCTCTGGGTCCARCATGAGGAAGAGCATCATGGTGGAGGGCCATGAAGGAGGAAAGCAGCTCAGGACCAGGCCACCAGGAAGCAGAGAGAGAATTCTGATCCCCAGGGATAAAGTGTAAACCCAAAGGCAGGCCCCCAGTGACCCTCCTCCTCTGGCCACACCCTGCCTGGCCATAGTCACCACCCAGGTAATTCATCCAAGTGGATCAATGTGCTGAGTAGGTTAAAGCTCTCATAACCTAATGTTTCACCTCTACACTTCCTGGCATTCACACAGGAGCTTTTGGTGGACACCTCCTATCTAGGCCACAACACAGTGTAACTGGAATGCAGCAAGCAAAATGGAGTATGCAGTTGCCCTGTGTCTTTATTATACACTATGTTATCTATTTCCATATCATTTAATATAAGTATTATAGATAGCTATGGTAGAGTGCATTATAGTTGCCACATACTGTTGCTCTAAACTTTAGGTTTCATATACTTTTACCACAACCATAGTCTAGTACCATTACAGTAAGCTGTTGGTGAATATGGCATTCSCCATCTCTCATGGTATAATAGCCAGCTATTGCTATTAAATGCTGGAATATACCTCCACYACTATTAATATCATAGTACAGATCTTGTATTATTAAACATAAGCTTAGCTGATGAAACCTGGGAAATATCTCTAACTAGTCTCCCTATATTGGGTTGCATGGTTCTTTAATGTGGAGAAAGAGGAAGAGGAGTAACACATTTGTTATTAGAACTTCCAGTGTGTCTAGCACTGTGCTTTAATGCATTATCTCACAAAAGCCTAATAACTCTTTAGTATGCCCATTCACAGACAAGGAAAAGAAGCTTAGGGAGGTCCTGCCATTTACCCAAGGTCATACAGCAGAACTTGAAATCCCACCTGACTGACCCCAAAGTCCACATTCTCAACCACAGAACTTCACTCCCTCCAAAGCCCTCARCTTCCCTTGCCACTGCAGGGAGCTGGCCTGTTGAACTGTCCCTCCAGCCTGGTCCAGTGCCTCAGGGCAGGCTTGCCTTGACCCTCAGGGTCTGGCACATCTGGCCATGGCTGTGGAAGGAGTGTGGGACAAGAGGGGGCGAGCAGGGCTAATGCAGGCACACCTGGATCCCTGGCTACTCCCCACGGGCCACAGAATCAAGGCAGAGTCTTCAGCTTCTCTGAGAGACTACACACCCAAAGGGAGATGTTGGGAGAACAAAGATCAGAGGGCATGAGAGCRAGGCAGAGGCCTGACTGTCTCCAACTGACCTGCGACCAATGGCTTGATCAGCTCCCGTGGGTCCGACTTGCTTACCTCCCTAGAATTCTGAATACACACCCTTCACTTCCTCCTTCTTTCCTTCCTCCCTCCCTCTCTCCCCACCACCCTACTTAATTCTGTCCTTTCGTCCTTCCATCCTCCACCCCAACAACATTTCTTCCTATAMTCAAACAAAAAATGGGAAGTTTGARAAGATTTTTATTATTTGACAAACCTTGACAAAGCCCCTCCTTCAAGATGGCATSAGGATTAAATGTGTGTGAGTGTTTGACAGGTCATTGGGTCAGCAAGCAAAATTTCTGGAGTAGCATTTCCTACTGTATGTTTTATAAACCTAATGTGGGTGGCAGGGTGTGAGGACCACGACACCCTGAGAAACACTGAGTACTATATTCTCTTGGGGTTCCCCCTGTGTTTACTAGTGCATTGAAAATTCCGAAAACTCTTTATTGTAAAAGGATTTTAACCGCATTTAACTCAGCATTTCCTAAACTTATTTGAACTCTTAATTCTTTTTTTTTTTTTTCCCCTTTAATGCCTTCACAGGTCTCCCTGGGCCCTCGAAATACTGCTGTAGAGAGCAGTGTGGCTCTGGAAGGGGCTGGCCTAGGAGACCTCTAGGGCACCTTGAAGCTCTCAATTCTGACTCTTTGTTATTATTTTTCATACTCTCCGAAGCTGTAGTCGTGAATTCTCATGATTGATAGGCTCTTTGTTGCTATTCAGAGCTGTTTTAGCAACAGGATTAATGCCTGTGGTTAGAGATTGTTTCCAACTCTCATAATGAGAAAAAATCACATATTCTCACTAGGAGAATGTTGGGGATTGAAACTTCACGATGAAACCATTTCTGAGGGTTGGAGTCCTTTTATCCTAAAGCCCCCAAATCACAAATTACGGACCTGGAAGATATGTAGAAAGCATCTAGCCCCCGCATCACCACCCCACTGTCCATCTGAAGGCCTAAAAGGGGAGGCGTCTTGGCCAAGGTCACAGACCTCTTTTATAGCAAATCCTTCCCTGGACAGCAGATGATGACATAAATAGAGGGTGGAGTGGCGATATTGACCTCTCTCTGACCACTGCAGCTCTTGTAATTAAACAGAAATGTTAACCTAAATCAAATGCTCTTTCCACCAGCATTATTACTAACGGGGCAATCTGTCTAGGGGAGGTGGGAAGGCCCTGCTCTCAGGTCTGTAAGGAGCCTTAAACCTGCAAATGCTAATGAGCCATCACTCCAGCCAATTAAGAGAGGCAGCAAAATCGTCTTTAACAAAGGCTTCGTGCATCCCCTGGGGTCTTTCTAACTCATACCCAAGGGTGCCAGGCAGCCCCTCTGGACCCAATTTTCATGGCTTTAGAAAGTAGTAAATTAACTCTGTGTGAATGGGCCTGGCTGGGTGTCAGGAGATCTGGCTCTGATCTGAGTTCAACCAAGGACCTTGAAAAGGTCCCATTTCATCTCTAAGTCTCAATTTCTTCATCAGTAAAGTCATCCCTTTCATTCACTTATGTTCATTAAATATTTTTTGAGAATCTACTATGAGCTGGTAGACAATGGGGACACAGAGACCATGGAGGTTCAGCCTTGCCTTCAAGTGACTTGAAGTCCAGCAGGGCCTGTGCAGTAGGATGACTTGTGGGCCTGAGGGAAGGGGAGGGGCCAGCTGTCTGGGATTGGGGGATGATTTCTAGAAGAGTTGCAAAGAGGGTGAGTGAGATGAAGAAGGATGAGGAGGTGCTGGGCAGAGGGCTACCTGTATAAGGGTAAGAGGACGGGGCCAACAGAGTGGAGCACTGGGCTTTGTGGGCAAGGAGGATGGTGCACATACAGCCTCCAGGGTGTGCCAAGCCTTGCCTGCAGAGCTGAGGAGTTTGGACATTATCTTTGAAGCTGTGAGCCTAATCAGCTGTAATGCTGTACAATTTGGGTAGTGAAGCTAGATGGTCACTRATTCACTGGTTTTGTGACCTTGGGCAAGGCCTCAAGTGTGCAGTAAGTGTAGCATCTTTATCTCAAAGGATTCAATGTTCCTCTGGCAGATGATCCCCTGGGTTGTGAAATTTTAGGCTGTAGATTATGGTGCTAAGACAAGAGAAAGAGCATTCAAGTTAGGAGGGCCTGAGTGGGAGTGGGCCCGGCTGGTCTGCCCATGCCAGAGGGAAATGCTGTACACTGATCTGGGAAGCCACTCTCCTTCGTTGGTGATCTCCAAGTAGAAGCATAGCAATGGAGCAGTGATCATTAGAACCACCATATGAGGCTCTGCAAGGCACATTCCTCCCCACCGTTTCTTTTCATGTCCCGTCAGGTAAATTGTATCTCCAGGTAATTATTATCTCTCCCTGAGCAACAGAGAGGGAAAGTGAATTCTCCAAAGTTACACAGGAAGTAGGTGTTAAAACCGGTTCTCTGGAGCTGAAGAATATCATGCTAAGTGCCATAAGCCAATCCCCAAAAACCAAACCGAATGTTATTCTCTGATAAGTGGATGCTAATTCACAATGGGGAGCGGGGTAGGGAAGAACAGAGTTACTTTAGATTAGGTAGAGGGGAGTGAAGGGAGGGGAGGGGGCAGGGGGGTAGGAATTACAATAGAATGAACCAGACATTTTTACCCTATTTACATATATTACTATATGCCTGGTGGGATTCTACATCATGTATAACCAGAAGAATGGGAAATCATACTCCATTATAGATGATGGATCAAAGTACATTCCACTGTCATGTATAACTAATTAAAACAAACGTAAAAAATCAAAAACAAAACAAAAAACAAATCCTACTTCTCCTGATGTCTGGCCTAGTGAGCTGTTCAGAAAGCCCCAGCAAGTGACCTCAGATGACTGCGTGAAAAAGCCAAGGGTCATTTAGCCACATTCCCAAGAACCAAGGTGAAACTTCCTCCCATGAACTCATGGGTAGTCCGAAAATTCTTTCTCAAAAGTGCATCCTCTGTTTCCTCTTGGTCCCCACCCTGGGACTACCTGCTTCCAGGCCTCCTCCCTCTCCCCTCACCTGTAATTGCCCAGGTAGACTCCATCAGGGTTGAGCATCGGTGCAATCTTGAAGACCAGGTGTTCTCGCAGGACACGGGCGATAGGGTGCTGGCTGACGAGGAAGTCGATGATCCCTAGGGAGAAAGAAGTGTCGGGGTTAACCTCAAAGTGCTCCGAGAAGGAGGGAGCACATTTCTCCTGATTTGGAAACATTAAGAGTTTGGTAGCTGATGTTTGGCCTGTGATGTTATCAGCTGCTAGAGAGCTGCGGCTCTGGACGAGGTGCTACCCAGTGAATTTTACAAACTTATCTCTGTTTCCAAGAGACCCACAGCTCAAGACACAACATTGAAGCCCAGGGACAGGACACAGGGAGAGCATTTCCTGCCTGAGAAAAGAAGGAGGGCTTCAAGAAAAGATGGCAATGGAGCTGTGCCTTGGAGGCCTTGAATGACACCAATCACCTCTGGACTGTGTTCTCATGGCTGCAACCCGAGGGGTCTCCCTAAAGTGTGAATCTGATCTGTCACTTTTTTCCTTGGTGATGGCCTCCATCTATGTACAGGAGAGGGCACAGGAGAATCAAGGGCTCTGACTCTCGCCCCTCCTCTCATCTCCACATTTCCACRTCTTCATTGGAGATCTGAAAAATGGACAAAGTGTGGCTCTGGCCTTCCATGAAATTAGTGAAAGTGATAGAAGAGTGAGAAGACCTCTCCCAGTGCAGAGGGGTCCCATTTCCTGCTGGAGAGTGCAGGAGAGGCCTGGAGGAGAAGGGAACCTTTGAACTGGGCCCTGACAGGTAGGTTTGATGGGCAGGAGGAAGGTGTCGGGGTCACTAAAAACAACCCACGTGCCCAGCGTCAGGCGCTYAGCTGTTGGAATGATAAATTGCTCCAGAGCACATTCCAAAGCTGCTGTGACCAGTGAGGGACATCTCAGGCTTTTCATTATGCCAAGCTGAGCATCCAGTGGCAGCGAGAGCCGGTTGGACATCATTTACTTCTCTGCCGAGGCGGCAGTGGACCAGATGCCCTAATTTATTTGTTGGTCCTCATATTAAAGTTACAGTTTGCCAGTAAACAGGCAGGGTAATGATGCCAGGCACCCTTGTTAGGGGCTAATAATTGCTTAATCTGTCCACTAATTGACCCCGGCTCCCGGGGCAGYGCTCCATCAAGAAGCCAGCCTGCACTCGGGGCCTGGCAGAGCTGCCTCAGAGAATGGGCTTCTGGAAATGGAGTGGCTCATGGTGATCCATCCTCCTTCACAGATGAGCAGATTAATTGGGCTGCCAATTAGGCAGCTAATAAAAGAATGAGAGAAAACAAAGCCAAGACCAGAGACTGCAGCCGCCCAGAACTTCCTCTCCCAGGTGGACATGGGGCAAGGAGAGGGCAGGTTTTAGATTTATCTTGTGGCTTGGGTCAGACACAGTTTAACAGAGATCATTTCCACTGATCAGAAGATTTTTTTTTCTTTTTTTGGTGTTAGAGGAGGGTGGTCAGGGGATTTTTGAAGAGGAATGTAGGAGAAAGTAAGAATGGAGAGAAAACGCCCTCCCTGATTGTGTATCAAAAGCATTGCAGGGACCAAGGAAGCAGAGGGACCCAGGGARCAGAAAGACTTGGGGACTTGAATTTGAATGTTAACTGTTCGTTAGGTGGAGCTGTTGCTGAAACCAGTTTTCTCTGTCAGAATGGAAGGATGCRGATGCCTCATCTGGAAGTTTGTTGTGTGACTGGGAGAGGGCTCCTGTGCCTCGGCTGCCTTCCGGCACCTGAAGAACCCACAGGGCCAAGTCCTGGTCTGTGAAGTTCACTAACTATGCAAACTGAGGATAAGGACTCTGAATTGGAGAAGCCAGCAAACCAGAAGAGGACCTGGGCTCTGGTTTTCACTAAGTTGCTGAATGATCTATAGAAAATCTCTGGGCCTCTTCTCTTTAAAGTTAAGAAAAAGAACCAAACAATGCCCCAAGATGCATCCCACACTGACATTCTATGATCCCATCTATTTTATACCTTCCCCCAAGGAGAGGAGGCCTCCTCCTGTCAAGTGAGAACAATCTCCCTCCTGCTGGGAGAGTCCATTAGATCCCTTGATACTAGTCTTTGTTCTGTCTGTGAACTAGTTCGCCATGGTCCTTTCCTTTGAGCAGACTGAATCAGGAAGATGGAAGACAGCGGGGCAGTAGGAAGGCTGGGAGAGGAAGGAAAAGTGATGCAAGGTTTGCAATTGAAGCTCAGTGGCAGAGATCCTTGCCTGGAGCCAGTCTCCAGCTGGCCAGGAGGTACTGCACCATTGTTGTTATTTCAATCAGAGTGCTTGGTTCTGGGGTGGCACACAGGGGGTGCTTAATAATGCCTATTGATGGATCATTCCCAGGAACTCATTCAACTTTGACCAAGTGTGAGACTAGTTGAACTGATAATCACTCATTCTACACACACTGCCAGGCAGGGTAAATGCCAGGCATCCTACATGAATAAGATGTTCCTGCCACTGAGGGTGTGTGGGGAGAAAGCAGCTCCCCACTGACCGGCCAAGGGGAACAGCACAGAACTGGGAGAATAAGGAAAGCCCCAGCCAGCCTGGGGGTCCAAAAGGGATCATGAAGAACAAACTTATAGGAAGCGTAGAGAGCCAGATGAAAATGTGGCAGGAAGACATTCCGGGCAGAGGAGTCTTACTGCCAGACTTGGTGCTGGTGAGGAAGAAGACGACCTATTTGGTAACAGACAGCTTTTYAACTCCAGGTGTGCAGCCGTATGGTTTAAAGGGCAGATCCTGAAACAGAACTCTCCAGGGGTTTGACTSCTATTTCAGGAGTCATTCATTCTCTGTGTGGCCTTACCTTCTAAGTTTCTCAGTTTCCTTACCAAGTAAAGGGAGGAGAATAAGACTTACTGTGAGGATTGACGTGTACATAGTAAGTGAGTAAACGAGTTGTTTCAATCACTGCACTTACTCTCAGGTTGCCTGAGGGGAGAAGGAGTGGAGGGCAGAGGAGAAGTTGGTCTTGCTGGGCCAACTGAAAGTGCATGAAAATCTCTGGAGAGCTATTGCAAGGTTTGAAGCCAGGAAGGGACAGGGTCAGATCTGGGATCCAGAGAACATCCTCTACTTCAGATTGCTTTAAAGGGAAGGAAAAACAGAGGGTAGGGCATTCTAAAGACAGGACAGACGTGGAGGTAGGGGAAGACATAGCAGAGATAGCCAGTAAATGTAAACCAGCTTGCAGTCAGGAACCAGGGTCTGTCATTGGTGGTGACCTGCAGGGCCACTGGCATGACCAACACCCAGAAAATCATGAGAATGTAGCAGGTGAAGGTACTGCCCCCCAAGAGCATTAAAACTGCCCAAATCATACAAAGCTGGGGGAATGACTGACCCTGGCAGAATGGGGCCTCAAAATACAAACTGAGTTCAGAAAAGTTATATTTCCTGCACCTTGGAGTTTGGGAGATTGAGCTTTRCATCTGTTGCTCATATCTGCCTTGCCTCTAGGCCATGAGCTTCAGGACGATAGGGACAGGTCTACTGTCTTTGATGCCATATTCTTAGTGCCTAGTTCAGTGCCTGACATGGGAAAAGTGCTCAATAGATAGATGCATGTGAAATGGGTGAATAAAGTTAGATCCTCAATGACTACTGTACATGCATTAGTTGGATTGACTTGCATTGTAATTGGCCCCGGAGAAACAAAGTCTGGGTGTGACATCACTAGCTAAGTGCCTAACAGGGGTCTAGAGGGTTTTAGATCCAGCTCTGCTGGCTCAAATCAGCCCTCTTTCCATTAAGGCAAGATGGGAATGACCAGGAGACTATTTCTATGTGTTCTGCAGGATGATTTGCATAYGTCTCTACCATTTTCCCTTTAGAGAGTTCTGGGAAAGATTCACTGTTGGCATCTCCTGCTTAGAGGCAGCACACTAGGGTGGGAAGAGCCCAGGCTTGAAGCAAGACAGCTGAGGTCTCTGCAGGGCCCACAGGACAGTTTGCAGGACAACAGCCTCCCAAGGCCCTCCCCTGACTAGCGCAGACCCCTGGAGCCCTCTGTCAAGCCCGGGGGCCTCAGATTACAGAATCACAGGGAGTCTGGTCCTGAAGAGCCTGAGGCTCATGGGGCGTCAGTCCTCACCCTCCATCCCCAGCTCTGCCCACTTCACAGATGCAGAGACAGAAACCTAGGAGGGCGAAAGGCCCCTTCACACCCCTCTGTGGGTCACGCTTCAGGCTTATCCTGTGTGGCTGTTTGAAAGAGAGAGAGAGAGAGAGAGAGAGAGAGAGAGAGAGAGAGAGAGAGGAGGAATAGGTAAGAAATAGAGGTGAGAGGAAAGCTGAGTGGGGGAAGGGGCAAAGGTCACCATTTCACTGCTGGTCAGGAGGTGCTTGGTCCCTGGTGTCTGGTGGCATCAGAGGTTGTGAGAGCCTGGCGTGTRCTTCTGTGTGTGTTTGTGTGTATGYGTGTGCATGTRTATTCACCCACCTCTCCCCTCCTCTTACCCCCACAAAGCGCCCTGAGGAGGGACTCCCTGAGAGAAGGCCAGCTCTTTACCTCCACGTGGAGTCTAGGCCCCAGGGGYGGCCTTGGCAGGAAGCCCAGGGCTCGGGCTGTGATGCAGGAGACCCGGATAGAGTCCCCACTCCATCACTAACTTGAAAGGTGACATTSAGAATCCCTTGACTTTTCTGGAAGGTCGGGCTGAGAGCTGCCCAGGGACTGGTGGGACTGGTGTGGAGAGCACAGGGGAGGGGAGAGGGCCAGCACTTGGTGCCTGCGGTAGCACTGACTCACCTCACCCCATGGCACCTCCTTGAGCAGGATGGTGCTGCCCTGCTCTGCCGGTGAGGAAACAGGGGTTCTGTGAGCCCAAGATTGGCTGAAAGTCCCCCAGCTGGCAGGTGCAAGTGGTAGGACTCAAACTCAGGCCTGTCCAACCCAGAGCCTAGCTATTCCTGCCCTGCCACTCTCCAGAGGACGCACGCTTGGCCCTCAGCYGCATTTCATAAATGTTGGCCTCATGAATTCAGTGGGAAGGGTCTGAAGAGGACGGAGTGCTCTGCGGGGGGTGACTTTAGTGAGCGTTGTCCCGACAGCTCCAGCGAGCTCCAGGAGGCAGCAATTGCTCAGCCAGAGTCCAGGCACTGAGGTCTGGGACTRGCTCTGCCAGCGAGCAGAAACCAGCTAGAGGCTCCTCGGGGGCAGCAGGAACAGAGTGGAGCACAGAGTCTCACCAGGGCCTGGGTTCACAGTGAGGGTGGGAGGAACCAGGCATGAAGAGCCTCACAGAGAAGCTGGCACTTGCAAAGCACTCAGCTAGGCCCCTCCCTCCCATTGCTGGGGACGTTCAGTGCTTACTGTAGTCCAGCCACTGTCCTCAATGTGTCATTTCTTCCTTTATTCTTATAACAACCCTTGAGGCAGGATTCCTTGTATTTCCCTCTGAAGATAAAGGAACTGAGGCACAGAGAGGTTCTGCAACATTCCCAAGGTCACGCTGTCATAAGTAGAGGCTTCGGGATCAATCTCAGGCAGTCTGTCTATGAGTGACCTCACACGACCTGCCACAGGGCAACTCAGGTGCCCCTTGACCTCCCATGCTGCCGCTGGAGAAGGAGGATAGCGTGTCCTCACAGAGGACATGAGTGAGGTTTGGAGTGAGGTTTAGGCAGAGAGGTGACCTGAGTCAGCCGTCACACCACCAGACAGTCTTAAGGAAATGCAGGCTCGGCCACCCTTAATGCCACCCCTTCTAGAGCTCTGCGACAACATGACTTACTCTAGTCCCAGCAGCAGGTGTATCAGCAGCTCGGCAGTGAGAACTGTGGTCCCAGCCAGATGGGGACCAACAGGCCTCACATGCCTGCTTCCTGCTCAAGGTCACTGAGCCAGTTAATGGGGAAGAGCTAACAGAACCAGAGCTACCTCAGTCCTCCTCCCTCCAGGCCCCAGACCGGCTGCCATCCCCAGAACAAGGTGGGCTGGAGTGGGGAYGACACTGAGGCTCTGACTGGGGAGGAAACCTCCAGCTGGGCTGTCCCCACGTGACTGAGAGACCCGACACAGACAGAAGGGGGGAGATGTGCCTGTCCCAGGCTCCTTGAGGATGGATGAGTTGTGTGTCTCAGGRACAGAGGCAGAGGCAGATTGGGAGACGGACTCCAGGGCCACTGTCTCAATGAGTTGTGTGACCTGGGGCAAGCCATGTCACTTCCCTGAGCCCCCACAGCCCCCTTTGTAAAATGTACGTCATCAGAGCTCTGTGCTCTTCCAGGTCTAAACCTTGACCTTCCAGCATTTTCCATCCCTGAGTGGAACAGAGGAGCATGTACAGGCTGGGGAGTTGGCCAGCCCCCTTCTCTGTTTGCTGGTCATGTGGCCTTGAGGCTACTCTTTCTGAACTCAGTTTGAGCAACCCAGAGCCAACATAGCCTTTGTTCCTCACATCAGCCCCATACAATTTACAAGAGGGTCCCATTTTACAGATGTGAAAGTGACAGCTGGAGAGCCAGCCCCTGGACCTATCTGTGGTTTAATGAGGGAAAACAAATGGAAATCAATGATATAACAAGTAATTGACAGTAAAGATCTTTATTGGTGATGGTCCTCTTTAGACCCACGATGAGGGCAGTGGGCTGCAGGGAGTGGGCTGGGAGGCCCATAGTGGGGGCACTTGGAGTAAGCCTTGGGAGATGGGCAGTACTTGCCCAATGGCAAGGAGTGGCTCAGGTCCTCCTCGGCAGAGGGACAGCTGGTGCCTGTGCTTTGTGATGGAGAGAGGACTTCCCATTCAGGAATAAACCTGTATGGGGCTGGCTGTGTGGGGCTGAGGGATAATGAGGCTGAGGCCAGAGAAGCYGGCCAGAGCTAGATCATGGTGGACTCTGAATGCCATACTGAGGAGTCCGGAATGTACCTTGAGCAGGTAGTGGGTAGGCATTGGAAGTTTCTGAAAAGGAGTGAAAACTTATTTAAAAACCTCCAGGGCTGGTTGTGCCAACTCAGCACCAAAGATGCCTTTTCAGGAAACAGAGTTATCAGAGAGCACCTGAGATGCCCTCAATTTCTCTACACCCCAGTCCTCATCTGTAAAATGGGATGGTGACCTTGCCTTCTGTCTAACACCCACAGAAGAGGTGAGCCCGGGGATTTGGGCTCCCACGGATGAAGGTCCTGATGGCGAGATCACTGTCTTTTTACAAACAAGGACAAAGCAGTTCCATCCAATCAGCTGGGGGAACATACCTGCTGCCAAGTTTAGTAACTGACAGATGGTTGCAAGTAAAGGGGAAGGTAAACCCAGGAGGGACCTGGGAAAGGTGACTGCAAGGACAGTGCTGGGAAGGAAAAGGCCAGAAGAGAGAATGTAAGGAGTCAGCTGCAGGCATCGGAGCCCAGCCATGGGTCCCACAAGCTGCTGGGCTATGGGCATGTCACTTCCTCTTCCTGAAACTTACTTTCCTCAGCTGAAAAAGAGAGGGAGGCAACCRTACCTAACCATGGCATTGTTAGAATATGAGCTGGGAGAACGAAACTTATATTTATTTGCATAATGCTCGATAGTTTGCAAAGCAGATTACCTGCTTCATCTTCTCAGATCCCATGGGGAAGGAGGTGGCATCTGTCGAGTGCCTGCTGTGAGCCAGGCACAGGACTGGGTGTTGTGTTTGCATTCATCTCATGCCAGCTTCCTAACAGCCTTCCTAGAGAGCACYGTTATCTTGATTTCACATTTGAGGAAACTGAAGTCACACCACGAGGAGGTGGCACAGCGGTATTTGACCTCAGGGTTGTAGGAGCCCACATTTCCAGATGCTTCCATTGCAGCATGTGGTCTCCCTCAAGTTATCTAAACTGTGTAGGCTTTTAAATATCCCTTCGTGGTCATTTTGAGGTTGAAGTAAATAAATTCTATAAACTTGGTTTCTCATATGTAAAAATACAGTTAATATTAGTTCCCTTGACATAGGAAGTTATCATAATTACAATAAGTTTAATTAATTAAAACAATAAGTTACTCAAAAGATGTAAAGTGCTGACTAGCACTTGTCACAYGTATAATATATATTTTTACACGTAATACACACACTAGATAGGTACAAATGTGAAAGTATCATCAAGGAGGTGGGATGGTAGGGACTTTTGTACATTGCTGGTGGCAACAGAAAGTTGCAAGTTGTTATGGTTTGGATCTGGAATGCTTCCCCAAGCTCATGTGTTTAAGCAATGTACAAATGTTCAGAGGTGAAAAGATTGGATTATGAGAGGGATAAGTGGATTAATCCATTTGATGGACTAATAATTTGCACTACTGGGTGGTACTGCAGGTAGGTGGGGCATGGCTGAAGGAAGTAGGCACTAGGGGCATACCCTTGGGGACTATATCTTGTCCCTGGCTTCTCTCTCTCTCTCTCTCTCTCTCTCTCTCTCTCTCTCTCTCTCCTCTTTTCAATCCTGGCCACAATAAGCTGAGTAGCTTTCTTCTTCCATTCTTTTTTCCATGATGTGCTGCTTCATTTTAGGTCCAGAGAAATGGAGGTTGCTGACCATGGACTAAAACCTCTAAAACCATGAGCCAAAATAAACTTTTCCTCCTCTAAGTTGTTCTTGTCAGGTCTTTCCTTTACGGTGGGGAGAGCTGACTAACACATGCATTTTGAAGAGAAATTTGGAAATATCTAGTAAAGCTAAAGATGCATACATGTCATGACCCAGAAATTACATTCCCATGTTATACACCTTAGAAAAGAATTTGCACATGTGCACAGGGGGAACATGTATAATAATGTAATGGCATTATTTGTGAGAAAATAATACTGAAAACAAACTAATTATTCATTATGAGAAAAACAGATAAGTAAGGTAAACTACAGATAGTCATGGAATATAATACTGTGGTGAAAAGAAGTGAACTAGAGCTAACCCCACCAACATAGATACTGAGCAGAAAGCAAGTCTGAATGAACCAGAATAATAGTAATTTGATAAAGTTCAAAAACATGCAAAAAAATGCATGTTCAATTTAGGAATGTTTACATACAGTAGAACTATCAAGAAAGATAAAAGAATGAAAAACACAAAATTAAAGTTGATGGTTATCTGTGGAAGGGAAATTAGGAAGGAGGACAAAGGACTTTAAAGGAATAGATAATACTCTACTTCTTGAACTGATGAATCCCTGGTATCTATTATGTTATTGTTCGAATTTAAGTAATATATTTTTATGGCTGGCTACAGATGAATAATTAAGCATATATTTTATATGGATTAAATATTTAGTAATAAATTTAAAGTATAATTGTAAAGAAATATACTCAATCAAAGAGCATATCTTGTTTACCTTTGGTTGTGTGATGTCAAGCATGCTTCCTTGCTCACAGTGGGTATTTCAGAAGTTGTCAAGTGAATGATTGGATAAATGGGTGAATAGATAATTCTCAATCTTTACCTTCCCATTTCACGCCCTTCTACCAACATAAACACTGAGCTGGGGCTAGATTTTTGCTAACGCAAGCCACTGGAGACAAGAAGAGGTAGGGAATTTAGGTGACTCTGTACAGCTCAGCCTCAACATGGGGCATATGAGAAGATTTCATTCAGTCCTATCCATTCATTTATTCATCCATCCATTCATCTATTCATCCATGGGTGAATCAGGTCAATAAGCATTTATTAAAACAAAACCAAAGTAGAATTCAGCAAGAGGTTTYAGAGCAATCTCTTCAAAAAAGTAAATTTCCATAATGACTCTGACTACACTGTCCCAGAGATCATCACAGTGCCCCATCTAGATGTGGGAGGCAGACACAGGACACCTTGAGATTCCCAGCTCACCTTGGCACACAAATGAAGAGGGTGTTTCCCCCGGGTGRACTCGTCCTGTGATGAATACCACCTTCTGCTCTGCCCCTTCCCGGAGATTGTCTGCAAAATAAAATGGAAGAAGGTCTCTAAGGAGAGCAAGGAAAGCTAAGACTAGGGATTGGTGTGTGGGAGGGAGGYGGATGAGGAATGGGCTGGATGCTTTACATTCATCTCTTAAATCATTGGGTTAAAACTATTAAGGCCCAGCTATTGCTGACTAATTAAATTATGTCTCTAGCTACCCAAAATYAAAAGACTACATTTCCTTTTTTATGTAACTTTGCATATCATATTAATAGTAATAGTCACAATCATCTGAAGAAGCCATATGAGTGAAGTTGAGTCCCAGAGTCAATGACTGTGACTCAGGCAATTTATCTTTCTGATTTTCAATGTTCTAAACTATCATTTAAGATAACAATTTGTACTTCATATTGTTGTGACGACTTAAAGCTATACATTGTATGACAGTCAGCAAACACCAAGTAGATCATGGCATAAAAATGTTTTCTATTTGTGTTATTAATAGTARCAGCTGCTTTTAAATTAGCCCCTTTTGCATCAGACACATTATATACATATTTATAATCCTTACAACAATATGAAATTAATACAAATTTTATAAAAACAGATACTAAGACTCAGAGAAGTTATGTAAAGGTCACCCAGTTAATAGGTGATGGTAGGAGCTGAGATTAGAACCCAAGTTTTTGTCTGGTGGTGATGAAGTAACAGGGACACACCTTCAATGACTACAAAATTAAACAAAACATGCTAAACAATTATCTTTAAATATTGGACAATAGTCAATGTGAGATAAACCATGAGAGAAGGGAAACAAATGAGGCATGATAGTCCTGGCATTCTGCCTGATGGTCCATCGCAGACCAAGGAGTTGGGAGTGGTGTCCTGAGCAGAGCAGGGAAGTGCCACTAAGGGTCAAATTCAGCAAGTGGCAATTGTGGGGAAACTGAACTCCAGAGAGGAGGAGCACCATAGAAAAAAGGTTGGGATATCTATGAAGGAGTCTTCCTGGGTCTTTGTGAGATCCTATGACSTGCACACATAGGGCAAATCTTCATTCTCTAGTTTGGATTTTGAATGTTCCCCAAAGGCCCAAGTGTTGAAGGCTTGGTCCCCAGCCGTGACGCTGTTGGGAGGTGGTGAAACTTTAGGAGATAGGGCCTAGTGGAAGAAAATCAATTCACTGAGAGAATGGAACTCCAACCCCTTCCTTTATGCCTTTGCCTCCTAGCAGGCTCCCACCATGACATGTTGTGCTGCCACAGGCCCAAAAGTGTTATGGACTGAACCCTGTGATACCATGAACCACAATAAACCTTTCTTCCTTATGGGTTCTTTATCTCAGGTATTTTGTTAAAAGTGATGGGAAAAAAAAAAACTGGCCAGGAAGCTGTGAACTGCCCAGTTTTCCAGGATCACACAGAGCTAGGAATTGTTTGAATTCCCACCAACAACATAAATGCTTGTTGATCATTCTGGYAGGATGAGAATGTAATCTAGACACATTCTAACAAAGTATTAAAAGAAGTCTGAAAAAATAGAACAGAACAAAAGAAACTTAACAGCTTGCTCTCCAAAGCCTAACTCTCTTTAAAGGAAGACAACAAAAYCCAGACAYTCAACAATGTATATAATTTGCAATATCCAGCATCTAAGAAAAAATTATTAGACATGTAGAAAAGTGGGAAAATATGGCCCCAACTCAGAACCCAAGCTCTCTCTGYCACTATCAAGTTTTCCCTACATAATAATGTTCATCTATTGTGCAAATATGTTATTACATAAGAACAACAGCCAAGAGTGACATGCATGGAAAAGAAGGAGCGGGGGTGGGGGGGGTACTCAGCAAGGGCAGAAGAAAGACTGGCCGGCACAGAGCAGAACGGTGACCTGAACTAGATTTAGGAAGGAACATTGAGTGAAACTGGATTAAAGGCCCCATCCATGTTAGAGGATCATCTAGAGAGAGGGGTATAGAAATAATGAAGAGGCTTTCTCTTTTTAAAKTGCTGGCCATATATCATTTTTAATATGCTTCATCATCCCAACAGAAGCACAAATGTCAGAGGCTAAATTAAAAAGTATTAGCTCCATTAAACATTGCTCTAAAGGCCTACAACTTGTTTGGTCCATTYAGGTGACCAGTAGGGGCTTGGGGGTCACTGCCTCCCCTGAAAGACGGAAAGAAATATAATGGAAACAAAATGCATGAGAACTCGTCCTGTGCTGATCTCTTTGCTAGGCACATTAAGGAACCAAGAGGGAGACAGGGGCTCACCCACTCTGAAGAAAAGAGGAATTGAACACCTGAATATTTCCAGGACTGAATAAGCTCCAGAAGGGAGAGATTGTAACTTCCACGGGCTATCCATAATGCCTCTCCCAGGACTCTGTACCCAGTAGGTGCTGGAAACTGATTGTTGAATTAATAAATTAAAATACATTGCATAGAACATGGTTTATAAAGTTTAGATACTTACTATCTCATTTGATCATCTGCATTCTCTTATGTGGTGAACCCATTTACAGGTAAGGACACCGAGGCTCAGAGAAGAAAGGGACATGCCCAAGGTCATACAGCCAGCAGTGAATCCCTGACTCCCATCCAGCATCCCTATTGCTATCCCATCCGTCTCCTTCTTGATCCACTAACAACATTCTAAGATTGCACATCCTCTCTATTTCCATCTACAATGTACACAGGAGAGTTTGGTTTCATTCCTTATTGCTGATGGAAATAGAGCTACTGTCTTAGCATTTATATTGCTTTTTAACTTAAAAATAATAATAAAAAACCCCCACCACCAAGCCCTTTAAAAAAATAGTACCTAACACTGACCCCATCTATCCCAGCAGTCCAGAAATGATAAATGGCACTGCTGAGGCCCTCGGTGAAGGCTAACTTTATGGATGTCTCCCTTGACCCAGTATCAACTCAATTGCATTCAGCATTTCTGCTGACCACAGGGAAATGCAAAATGGGCATTATATTTGCACACTAATTTTACTGAGCCCCTGTGTCTTCATAAAATGATAACGTGGGGCTAATAAAAATCAAGCATCTCGGGTGCTAATATAAGCAAATGTTGATGCAGRCAGGTAACAAATTGCTTTGTCATTTAGGAGGCCATAAAAGAGCATTATAATCATCTTTAGGTAAAATGGATGGGTCGCCTTTGCTTAGCTTTTAGCTTTCATTTGCAAAATCAATTTAAGGTAATGTAGCAGGGTGGTATGACATGGGACCACCCCCACCCTCTCCTGTCACCAAATCCCCAGGCTGCATGCAAAACCAATTAAACATATTCTTGGTGGAGGCACAGGGATAAAGAAGGAAGTGCACTTGAACAAAGCTAGGGTAGAACAAAAAGCAAACAACACAACCAAGGACAACCCATAGGGATGTTTGTAAAACCCAAGGGCTCATGGAGGTTGACACGTATAAAGTACAAGGACACACTCAGGTGGAATTGGGGCAGCCATGCCCAGCTGTCCAGTTGAGCTGAAGGTGTTCCAAGTTTAACTGTGCTGCACTAGCACCTCTAACCCACGTATGTGAATGCATGTGCGCACGCACACACACACACACACACACTCGCAGGCACCCCTTTGTTATATTCCTCTATCATCCACTGTTTCTTATTCAGAAAATATTTATTGAATACCTGTTAGGTGGTCAGGGACTAGGGATTATTACATTCATTTTATAGAAAATCAAGTCCAGGAGGGCTGGGGTTGTGGCTCAGCGGTAGAGCAGTAGCCTCAAACATGCTAGGCCCTGGGTTGGATTCTCAGCACCACATAAAAATAAATAAATAAAATAGAAGTATTGTGTCCAACTACGACTAAAAAATAAGATTTTTTTTTTAAAAGAAAGAAAATCAAGTCCAGGAGAAATTGAGTAACTTGTCCTTATTCTTCTAGCTGATGTGTGACAAAGTCATAATACCAACCCAGGCAGAAACTGTTTTCAACCTCAACACTACTTCATAATCTTGTGTGAAGGAGGAAAGTAATATTACTCCATTGTGATAGGAATTAAGTAACATTTATTGAATACTTGTTCTCTGCTAGGCATTTTAAGTGCATGATCTTATCCCACAGTAATCCCAGTGAAACAGTTTACCATCTCTCTACCGATTTTAGCCCTCTTTTATAGGTTTGGAAGTTGAGATCCAGAAACATTGAACTTGCCTAAACTTGCATAATAGCAAATGTGGAAGCCAGGATTAAACTTAGGTTTTTATGACTCTCAAATTTATGCTCTTAACTACTTATTGTATTATTTCTTRGAGATTAAATAGGGTACCTAAGGTGGTTTTAACATTACATTCACCAATCCTTTGTTAATCTCCTTTCAAGAGACAGAGATAAAGTTCCCTCTCCTTCAACGTGGGCTGGGCTTAGAAACTTGCTTCTAACAAATAGGATACTATGAAAGTGATGACATGGCAGGTCTGAGATTGGGCTACAAAAAGACTGCAGTCTTGGGCAAACTCACTCTCTTGAATCCCTCACTTTTGGGGAGACCAACTGCCATGTCATGAAGACACTCAGGCAGCCTAGGGAGCGTCCCACATGATGAAGAACTGAATTCTCCAGACAACAGCCAAGAGAAACTGAGGTTTTCAAAAGCTACATGAGTGACTCTGGAAGACGATCCTCCAGTTCCAGATGACTGTAACCCTGGCTGAGAACTAACGGCAACTTCAGGAGAGACTCTCAGCCAGAACCACAAGCTGTGTACTGTCACATTCCTGACCCAAGAAACTGAGAGATGATAAATGTTTTTTGTCTGTTTCTTTGTTTTTAGGATGTTAAATTCTAGAGCAATCTTTGAAGCAGCAGTAGATAACTTATAAATACCTCCCTGGAGACATGCAGAACCCCTCGTTAATATGTAGAACCTAAATAATTTTGCATCTTATCTATTGACGCTGTACATGAATGAGGACCAAAGTCATGATCTTGGTGCCCGGATGGAGAGAGAGCCCCGCCKCCGTTTGGTCAGTTATCAGTGGATCAGTGGCTGGTGG